AACAACAGAAGAAAAATAGCAGCAATGAAGAAACCATCTGTGCAGACAAGAAGCTGTGCACTATCCTGTGTCCCTGGAACATAGGAGATTCAGATTCAAATTTGTGATTCCAGAAAGTGACTGCTACAGTAGTACTGTTATTTCCACAGAAATCCAGGATATCTTGAGGTTTTTGTCTTTCTTACACTCAGGGACCTAACTTAAATTTCTGTCCTTCAGTGCACTTCCCTCCATCTGAACCATCACAGGTAGACATTACCCTTTTTCCCTACACTATTCTACTTGCACAAGCATAGGATCCTCATCACCATTAAATGAAGAGCTACTGATAAAAAGCATCATTTTATGTCTATCTAATCAGTGTCCCTTTGAAAAGCTCAAGGTCTTCTCCATCTCACTTTCTGAGAAAGTCCGCATTCATCTTACACAAAAATCTTGAAGCTCTGGGACCAAAGATTTGTCATAATTGGCTATTTTCAAATCAAAGAAGAGAAGGTTGAATATATTTTGTCTCCTTCATGTAACTGTAAACACTCTGCTCAACTGTAGACACTTGAGTAATTCACGAACTGTATCCCCCATCTATTCAATGACTATTTTCCTAAGAGAAGTTCTGATCAACATGAAATACTCCAGAAGATATCAGCATGCCTGGAGCCCTGACACATGCTATGGATCTACAACATAGATAGTCACAGAGTACCTCTTGCTATCTCTTAAGAATACTCAAATTTCCCCTGGGAGAGGCTATAGAAACTGCAAAAACAAACTTAAAAAATCTTCTGTAGTGTTGACAAGATTATTACTGACTACTTGAAAACCATGTCCCAGGCAACAAGAGAGATCATTAGACTTACGTAAAATAAGTTACCTCTCATGAGGAAATAACATATCATTAACAGGTAAGAAAGTGCCCCAGTCTGTTATTCCTACTATTTTTCAGTCCAAATGGTTATTAAACTTGAGAGAGAGTTACATACATCACACAAATTCAGAGCTTCTCCCAGAAACATCTGACTTAAGATGAAATAAGTGAGCTCAACAGGCAGAATGAAACCAGTCTGGCAGCTTTACACAGGGAAACAGTTGTGTTGATAGGCAGAAACTTTTGAAACAGCAGACAAAAAGGTGTACAGCTACCATAACCAAAGTGTTTTGGAAAGACTTCTGAAAGTGCTGACCTCAAAGAGTGCTGGAAATCATTTGTCATATTACTTTGTAGTTCTGCACAGGAAACCTGGTCTGGTAAAATTTTACTTCCCTGTACACATCTTTTCTCCTCCTTTACTTACACAAAGAGAGTGCCAGATATATCTTGGAGCAGACTTCACCAAGTGGCCCTAGACAGCCTTAGAATAATTTCCATCTTTGCCTTAATCCTCAGCAGCATTCTTCAAGGAATAAAGTCAATAGTGCATACTTCAAATCATATAAGGCTACAGTACAGACAGGTTAACATCTGTGGCTAGCAAGAGAAATGCCTTATTACTGATAGCCCCATCCCAAGAGGAAATTGAAGTTCTTGGTTCAAGAACAAAAATAAAAATCTATTTTCAATGCCTTTAGCCAGCCTGTGAAGCATAAAGGCCTTTTACGCAAGTTGTCATGCAGATAATTAGAAGAGGCAATAGGTTTGACCTACAGATCAAAAACAGTAGATTCATTTGTTCTGATCTAGATTGAGTTAGATTAGTGCCAACATATCACAGCAAGAACTCAGACTACAGGGTATCCCATCTTCCACAAAACTGAAATACACCTACACGCGCACACATGGAAACATTCTTTCACAGAACTTCAGTAGATCCAACTAAGACTGCGTCAGAAATGAGACCACATATCAGTTCTGTATGCTCATCAATGAATGTATAAATCAGATCATCCCCAATACCTAATATCTCTACTCAGAAAAACAACAACAAAACAAACAACAGGGTATGATTTTTGTAGAGCTACAAAACCTACAGGCTGTTTTCTTTTTTTTTTTCCCCCCAATTCTAAAGAGACTGTAAAGTACGTAAAGACAATTCCAGATAAAGCTAGAATAATTCTTGATAAAAGTTGTAAAATTTTAGTTTGTATACGCTCAACAGAGAAAAAAACACTTTTACACAGGCAATTTGAGCATTGTTTTTCCTATCAGCAAGGAAAAGGTTGAAAAAACAGATTGGATTTTTATTATCTTTTCACAAGGCTGCTTACTAGAGTTTGGTAAAATGTGAGCATAACTGAGCCTTAATTTAAAAATCATAGAATGGCTTAGGTTGAAGAGGACCTTAAAGATCATCTAGTTCCAACCTCCCTGCCATGGGCAGGGCTGCCACCCACCAGATCAGGCTGCCCAGGGTCTTATCCAAGCTGGCCTTGATCACCTCCAGGGACAGGGCACCCACAGCTTCTCTGGACAGTCTGCACCAGCGCATCACCACCCTCTGAATAAAGAATTTCTTCCTAACATCCAACCTAAGCACCCCCTCTTTTAGTTTAAAGCCATTCCTCCTTGTCCTGTCACTACTGCAACTGTAAAAAGTTGGTCCCCTTCCTGCTTGTTAGCTCCCTTCAAGAGCTGGAAGGCCACAGTGAGGTCTTCCCAAATCCTTCTCTTCTCCAAGCTAAACAAGCCAAACTCCCTCAACCTTTCTTCAGAGGAGAGGTGCTTCAGCCCATTGAACATCTTCAGGTAGCTCCTCTGGACCCATTCCAAGAGTTCTGCATCCTTCCTGTACTGTGGGCTCCAGGCTTGGAAGCAGTAATCCAGATGGGGCCTCACAGGGACAGAATAGATGGGGACAATCATCTCCTCCCTGCAGGCCACCCCACATTTGATGCAACTCAAGATACTTCTGGTCTTCCAGGCTGCAAGAGCACACTGACTCCTGTCCAGCTTTTTGTCCCTCAGGACCCCTAAGTCCTTCTCTGCAGAGCTGCTCCCAAGTTTTTATCCCAGCCTGTACTCATATGTGGGATTGCCTTGAACCAAGCACCTTGCTCTGGCCCTTGTTAAACCTGATTATATTCTCACATGCAATTATTTTCCTTTTGTCAGTTTACAGTGCATGGAAACACTGTGTCAATTTCAAGCTGGGAAAAAAAATAAATAAATCCATTGATTTAAATGAATTCAAAGAAGTCTTTGGCTCACAAATTTATAGTGAAACATACCCCTGCAGTCAGCCTTCCTTTCACCATATACATGACTATGGCATTTTAAAACCAGGAAGTTAGATTTGGCCAGACAGAAGTGCCTTGAGACACAGGCTTCCTTGCTAAACACTCAGCTGTTGCCTGTCATCATTGCTGTAAGTGGAGAGAGCCAGCACCCCTTCCTGCTTACCTCAGCTTACCATGTCGGTAGCACATCTCTGTCAGCTCTCTGCAGCATGCTAACTATTAACAGTATTCTCTTGGGTTGCTTTGATTTCTAAGACTCCTCTATCTTTTTCCTATATTCCCTCACTCTCACTAGATTAATCCTTTTGTGCAAGGCTCGAAGAGTACGGTCTCATTAAAGGCTGCAGCAGATGGCAAAGATGCGCTATGGGAATGACAGCAGGATGCACATGAGATCTACATGAAGGAGTGCTGAATAGCAGCAATACAACGCTGTGGCATCATTCATCATTGTAGAAAGCAAGATATAAGGTTGTCTCTAGAGATTAATAGTGTGAAGTCCCACGAGGTCCTTCCAACCATTGACATGCAGTTTCTGATACTGAGCAATTGCAATCCCTGCCATTCATCTTGGTGGGTTAGCATGGGATTGGAGCGAGGGAGAAGGGATGATTGGAGAAGCATTTTATTGCCCATATAGCTCTTTCTACAGGGAAATGAACAACCTTACAGAACACTAAGAGTTGAGGAAGCAAGAACTCAGCTTGTGGGAAAAAAATAACAGGAAGAAAAATCATCCACACAAAGCTATGAGGCAATAATCAGGAGCAGAGCAGGAATGAGGCGTTAACCCTCAAGCACTGCTAATTCCCCTGGACCATAACCTTGTTCACAGAAAGGCTGAACAAAAGCAGCTTCCCTCTGAACTCCAATCAGCTCCTTTACCAGATACTCCTAAATCTAACTTTATCCCCTGATTGCTGCAATTCTGCTACATTAAAGAGATTCTCTGAAGTAACTCTGATTCATCCACAATACTGCTATTTAGCAACCAGAGCATGAGAGCAATGCAGTTATGTTTTGATTTCAATTCAATTATCAGCAAAGTCATAGCAGAGATCCAAGATGTCTCAGTGGAGCTGCAATTGCATGCTGACAGCACCTTTCCTCCTCTTCCCCAAATTAAAGCCTTTCTGGAAACATCCCTCTGCCACACGGCACTGTGGCTGCTGGGTCAGCGACTAGGGGCACATGTGGTTTATATGGGTGCTCCTCTGGGAACAAGAAGACATTTTCTTTGTCAGAAAAATATTGAGACTCCTCCTTGCTTCCAGGGTCAAAGCTGGTTTCTGGAAGCAGAGCTAGTCAGAGATACTATAGAAGCAAGGCTCGAGGAAAGGGAAATACCACATCCCATAGGGACACAGGCTTTTCACATGAAACAGAAGTAAGAGCTGAGATTAAAATAGTTCAAAAGGAGCACTTCTCTTTTCAGAGGAGAAAGGAGAAGTCACCCCAGGCCAGACCAAGAATAGCTCTTACTACAGACCTATTTCAGCATAACTAGGACTGGTCCCTCCAAGCAAAGGGATTGGGGGCCCAGACCTCAGTACAGCCAAAAGCCCAACTAGGAAAGATGACTCTCACGTTTAACTCTACTGCCAACTTCAAACATCAGAGCAACAGAGTTTCAACATTTGAAGGTATAATTATCCCTTCAGAAAGCAATATTTTTCAAAAGACCCTTTCAATCAGGCAGCTGAAGAGAGGCTAGGATATAATGAAAAAGGACACAAAGACTTTCTGCAGTGAGTTCTCACTATCTTCCATTCTGATGATTATAGCTAAGCTACTGCAAGAGGGCATTAAAGGTAGAGATCAATACTCACCAATAATTTTTAGCAGATATCTACAAAGCTCAGTCCACAAAAACTACTTCTGTTCTTCTCAGCATGTACAGCAGGTACAGCTCCACAACACCATCAGCCACCTAAAGACAACAAGGAACCAACAAGCTGGACCAACTCCATTCTGGGCAGCACATCCAAAGGGTCCTTAGAGAGGCACCTCATCATTAGCCACAGCTGGTAAGCAGCTACTCACCACAGATGGAGGCTCCAGTGCTCATAGGTCCTGAAAGTAATTACAACTTTGGCTACCACATGCTGGGAAATTCAATTATATCCTTCAGGTGGTCTAAATGAGCAGAAGTGGGCCCTACCCCACACACAGGGAATTAAAGCAAAAAAAGCTCTTCTAGAAAATAACGGATCAGTACATCAGATTATTAGTACAGTTCTCTACCAAAAGTCTTGGTGCTTGTCTTGTTCCCGTGTTTTTTTTCATTGCTTCTGAGAAACTTCTAAGTAGCATCTAGCTCTGCATGTCCTAGATAACACTCATTGCTTTTCTACCTGGAGTTGAAAGAACCTGCTTTCAGGGAATGTCTATGCTTTACCTGGAGGAACGAGGCACTTTTAAGTAGCATTTGCTAATGTGACTAAGCCGTATCACTAATATCTGCAGCAGAGTTCTGCTGGGAAGCATCTGTATTTCTGACTGGAAGCTGTGTTAGCTCTAATGGCTGCCCCAGAGATGCTTCTACAGCACTGTGAGCTCTGAAGAGCAATCGCCTCCCTCTGTCTTTTCTTCCTTTATGTCTGGGGAAGGGTTTTTTACTGTAATACTAAAGACTGCAGCTTTGACTAGGTTGATAGCTTAATTCAAGAAGTTGTCACCCTCAATTCAAAAGTAACAATGCTGAAATAAAAATGTCCTTCCTTGTCACCTCTTGGAGATACAAACAAAGCCAAAGCTATTCATTTATTTTCTGTGGTCCCTGGGAGCTCTGAGAAGCTGTATGTCCTGCTCTGAGGAGCCATCCATGGCTGTTTTCTCGCTGTTTTACAGCTGGTGATTTACAGCAGAGGTTGAAATCTGTAAGAGTAAACACTATAGTTTTATTTTACATTAAGGCTTTGCTGTGTCTCATGTTCCATTTAACAGAGTGCAGTGATTCTTAAATGGTTTAAAGGCTGTTTTCTCAGAGCAAGACCTTATAAAACAGTTGACTGTTTAATGTGAATTCCACAACAGAGCCACAACAATTCCCTCACTAAATTTTTGGAGGTCTAATAGCCATCTGGTGGAGCTGCGTGGCTTTGAGGGAGGTAAAAGGATCAAATTTAGATTGGAGACCTAGCTTTGGATGACTAAGTTAGGTGAGAGGAATCCCAACCAAGATGCTGCAACAGCTGCTGAGATTATTTGTGGAGCAGCCACCGAATGAAATGTAACACCAGATTTTCAATGGTATACTCTACTGTTTTTAGAAATTAAGCTCCCCAGCCCTGTTCTTGTTTTGGAATTCATTTTAATGTTGAAGATGCAGGAAGTACTTTTGTTCATCACCACAAAGGCAACTAAGTGCCTAAGTCCCAGTGGCTTCAGTAGGAGTTAAAATCATTCAACCTTGGGACTTTGAACTCCATTTAGTTTTCCTCTCCAGTGATGATGTAAATAAATGTGAGCTTTAAATCTTTACATAATGGACAAATTGGTAGGTTCCATGAATATTTCTGAGCAGAATTCAGTGAAATCTGGGAGGAAATATCCTCTCCTGAGGCCTAGATTTGCTGGTATATGGAAGGAGATGTTGCTCCCTCCACTGATATTCCCTGGTGGAGCAGAGCAGCCCAAGTGCTGGGTGGTGGTTGTAGTGGGGTGCTGGTAACCCTCCTCTGTACACCTAACCCAGCCATGGGCCTCTCCACTAGATCCCTTTGTTGGCTAGCACTGGTTTAAATGTGGTAGATTTTTTTCTATCTTTTTTCTATCCAGTCACACCCTGATGGCTGGATAGTAGCCATAAGCAAATAAATGGACCATGCTATCTGTGAGCTCTGAAATTAGCTACTGTTAGCAGTCATCTTACACTCCCTGTTACTGCACTGGTATCTAACTGGTTGGTATTGTCTGTTTTATTCCTCCTTATGCACACAGCCAAGCAGGACAATAGTATATAATTGACTAAATAGTTTTCAACAGACTGTCTGTACTCAGTGAAAACAGCCCCAAAGCATAAGACCATTTGCTGTTCTGTTGTATTCATATCTGGAATGTACTTAAACTATCACGTGTACATTTACTTACTATGAACATTAAGATTTTCACACACAAGCCATGCTAGTTCTAAAAACAGTAATCTCCTAGACAGCATTTCTTCTAAGAGTTAATATGACTGCTTACTGCTACACTTGATACACAATGGAGTAGGGAGAAGTTTCTTTAATTATTTAGAAGCTAAGAAAAAAGGGGGAAAGAAAGACTATGAAATGATCCCTGAAAGATTCTTAACCTTTCCCAGGCAAATATTTTGGATGAATTTTCTGATTTTAAGAAGAGAAGAGAATTACTCATCACATTTGTGACAGTAAGTTACAAGATATCCTGAACTGATAATTTAGCATGTAAAATCATAAAAGATTTAGCTGCCAAGTTGAAAAAAATCACAAAAAAATTGTAATTCCCTGAACTGTTATAATTACTTACTACTGGCATGAAGCCAATGAATAAATTAATGTGGTAGGAAGCAATGGTTAGACAATGACTTATCTTAGTAGACTGTCAAGTGTTCATCAGCCATGTGGGTGAGCCAGCCATCCATCAGTCACAGTGTTATGCGACTGCTGGATACAGCTTTGCTCATACGGCTGGAGTGTTCTCCCTAGTACACCCCCTCATAATGTACTCCCTACATTACGCCAGGCTGGGCACAGCATCGTGGAGGCCCTTGTTTCCTGGCACCTCCTAACAGGAGACGGTGTGGGCACAAGATGGCAAGGGCTCGGAGTCAGCTTCAAATGTTGACAGTAAAACAACAGCTGCAGAAAGAGACACTGTGCTGTAAACCAGGATGTAAACTGCTCTCAGAAAGGAACCCAGCTGGAGTTCAAACAAGATGTGACTGCAGGTTTGAAAAGAACTTTTTGCCAAAAAACAGCTTGATCTTGACTGAAAGCGCATACCAAACTGAAGTTTCTCTAAGCAAAAGGTTGCATCTGACTGTGAGTGAAGTGATTAAACAACAGCTTTAAGGTTCAGCAACAAAAGTCTCAGCAGAATCTGAAGACATTTAAGGGGCCTGATGCTCCTTGTTTTACAGCATGACAAGGAGAGAAAAAACATCTTCAGAAAAGAAATGGGAATGCACTGCATGTGAGAGCAAAATGGGGTTCACCCTGATCCTTCAGGACAAATACTCCTGCTCTTGCTCACCAGCAGCCTTTGTTTCCAGGGCTAAGTGCTATTTTAAGCACTTTGCAGTAGTTGAATAGCTAAACAACCTGCTGCTGCCAGAGCATGCTGAAGGCCAAGCAGTGGCAAAATAGGCTGCAGACCTAACTGACCCACACAAAGCCACTGGACATGCTGTCTGTGGGCTTGTTTGGTTAATTTTTGAGGATTCTGCAGCTAGGTTGAAGCTTAATGGCCTTCAGCTGTGGGAGTGAGGAGTGGTTTTAGGAGCAGGAAGGTAGACAAAAAGGGAGGAAAGAAATGATTTGTTTCCTTCTGAAATTAAGAAGTGGCTGACTTCAGCTAAACTAAAAGCTCGCACTTGCACTCACAGATACTCATCATGGGCAGAAGAAAAAACACAGGAAAAATTACCTAAAATGTTGTTTAAATTCTGCAAATAGCCAAATTAAGAGAATTGGACTAGAACTTCACTTTACAGTGTATGTTATATAGGCATGACATAATACTACCTATTTTGGAGTACTTAAAAATTTGCTACAGTCCTTTTAAACTCCTCCAGAGAGACCTAGACAGGCTTGAACAGTGGACCCAGGTGAACACCAAACTCAAGTACAACAAACCAAGGTGCAACAAACCAAAGTACAAGGTCTTGCACCTGTGTGCTGGCAATTCCTGCTGTCAGTACAAGCTGAGAGACAAAAAGATGAAGGACAGCCCTGCCAGAAAGGAATTGGGAGTACTGGTGGATGGCAAGATAGACATGAGCCAGCAACGTGCCCTTGCAGCCCAGAAAGCCAACCGTATCCTGGGCTGCATCAAAAGAAGCATGGCCAGCAGGGAAAGGTAGGTGGCCCTGCCCCTCTGCTCTGTGCTGTTGAGGCCTCATCTGGAGTACTGTGTCCAGATGTGGAGTCCTCAGTAGTCCTCAGTGTGGTGTAGACCTGTTAGAGCACATCCAGAGGACAGCCACAAAAATGATTCAAGGGATGGAACATCTCTCCTCTGAGGACAGACTGAGAGAGCTGGGGCTGTTCAGCCTGCAGAAGAAAAGGCTCCAGGGAGAAATGACAGTGGCCTTTCAGTATCTAAAGGGGGTCTGTAAGAAAGAAAAGGACAGACTCCTTTACAGAGTCTGCTGTGATAAGGAAAGAGGAACTGGTTTCCAAACTGAAGGAGGGGACATATAGATTGGATGTAAAGAAAAAGTGTTTTACAATAGGGGTGGTGAAGTACTGGAGCTGGCTGCCCAGAGAGGAGGCGAATGCCCCATCCCTGAAGACATTTAAGGTCTGGCGCTCTAAGCAGACTGACCTAGCTGTAAGTGTCCTAGTTCATTGCAAGGGAGTTGGACTAGATGGCCTGTTAGGGTCCCTTCCAACTCAAACGATTCTATGATTCCATGAAAATCCTTGCCCTTGCTGACACCAGCACAACAAGCATCTGCCCTTTCACATCACATGGCTTGGTGCCTAGATGATGTTGAATCAAAGCCTCAGCGCAATTGAACAGTCTCTGGGATATCCCTGTTCATAGTTACTTCATTGTTTGGCATGGCATCAAACAGCAATAAGCAAAGCAAATGAGCAAGCAAAGCGTGACAAGAGGATGCCTCTCACCAGCTACCCACAGCTCCCACGGTCTTTCCTGTCTGTGTTTGTTTTGGGGGAGAAATGAAGCATCTCAGTCAGGGCACACTTAATAGGCAGAACTAGTGCAAGAAAGCCTTGTAATATGTGTCTAGTGACATGCTAGGCAGAAATGACAGTAACCTGATGGAAATATATGGAAATTCAACATCCTGCCTCTCCATCCCCCCTCCCTACCCCCTGGTATGCATGACTTTGAATCTGCTTTTGAGAGCTCCTGCAGTGCAGGGGCTGCCCATCCATCTGGCAAGGTTACAAACACATTTCAGCGCTGTCTGCAACGA